AGGCCATTTTCAACTTCACCTCCTGAGGGAGTTTGCAGAACAAAACACTCATCTCCACTCAGAAGGTGCTCTCCAAAAGAGTCTGTTCTCACTGAGTGGGCTGAGCTGAGATTTTACTCTTTGACATGGAAATTTCTAGCATCTGGTCAGGAAGGATCCACTAAGCATGCATGACCTCACAGATACTCTCATAAAACATCTGACAATTGCATTGATTACATCGCTGCTAACAGGTCATCAGTGTAACAGTCCTGGGATGGTTACTCAGCAAGTCACCTGAGAAATGACCAGTGGGACCCTTGTGCTGATGCCTGTATGGAACAACCTGCCAGCATGTCCTCCTCAGGTGGCCCTCACAGGTGGAGGGGCCGGTGCAGGAAGCATACACAGACATTCTGTTTTCCCACTGCAGGCTTGTACACAATGGCTGGTGCCCCCAAAGGAGAGAATTGTGCCCTGTGGATCCTGCCCCTGGGTGTCTGGTACTCCCTCTTCCACTCACTCATTCTGCAGATATTCTCTGCCCTGCTTTGAGCCCAGGACTGTGCTTCCCCAGCCATCCTGACCCCTGTGACCTTCCCAGGTGAGCTCAGACCCACTGTGTGAAGGAGGAAGTATGGCCCTGGTGTAGGCAGGGAAGGTGGGCACCAAGAATCACTCATTTTATTGCGTGGGAGGTTCACAATTTCAGGAAGTGTCAGAGATTGATCAAACTGGTATATAGATTCAACTCCATCCCTAGGAAATCCCAGGGAGGCTTTTTGGTTTTATTATTGCAGACTTTTACAAGTTAATTTTACAATCCATATTACTCCATGATGGCCAGTAACAAGTGTTGTCAAGGATGTGCAGACAGTGAGACCCTTGGGGTTTGGGAATGGGAATGGGGGCACTATGAGCACCGCTGTGGAGCTCCAGGTGATTTGACAGGCAGTTGCCCTGTAAGCAGGCAGCTCCTCGGTTGGACTGCATCCTGGTTGATGGAAAGGGCAGGCACACCTAGAGCCTGGGAACACTGTGAACAGCAGAACTCTTCAAGCAGCCCGCAGTGGACATATTCCAGGGGTTCATGAGCTGAACAGGTGAGTTTATTCCATCCCGGAGGGAACCTGAAGTCTGTCAGCCAAAGGAGAAACTAAATGGTCCACCACAGGCTGGGCTCCTTCAGCTGACAGACTTCAGCTTCCTCTGGGTTGGAATCAAGACCCTCCATGTGAATAGACCATAGTGGGTGGGTGGCTGGGCTGACTGTGGGTTTCACATCCAAGGCTGTGATGATTGGCTTGTGGATGTATATACACATACATATTTGTTTCTTTTTT